AGCAAAGTCTCGCTTGGTTTTCCACATGTGCTGCTGCAGTGGCTGGTGAGTAGTTGTGTCATTTGCATCACATTTCACACTAAATCGATCATGTCCTGATTTATGTCGCTGGATATAAATATTAAATTAATGAAGTCAACAGTAGTGCCAAAGGCGACGCTTGTGTGAATGTTTCTGTCTCTGTTGAATTATCGCTGCCTCAGGGCTTTTCTTGACGATGTTGTACGGTGGACTTCCGGGGACACCAAGCGAGACGGTGGCTGTGTGATGCGGATCAGAGGTTATTGAGAACGAGCAATGAGCAGCAGCGGTGTACAGAACATGTTACTTGATCATATGTCTCAGGGCAGTGGTGAAAGTGGGACATATGACACGCTCTGTGCGACTGTCGCAGCGACGAGCTATTCATCTGTGCTAGTTGTCGTGGGTAGTCATCGTCGTTGCCATCGCGCGCGTCCGACTGCGTGCTGATTTTCGAGATCGCTGCCTCTGCCGGCCGATCCTCCTCTTCCGATCCGATGCAGAAAAATATGCCGACGTTGGACCGGGTCTTTGCCCGGTCCTTTTACACATACGGCTGTTGTGTCTACCGCTACCGGTGGCTGTTCCTCGTCACTCCGTGTCTGCTGGCGGTCGTGCTTTCCTCAGGCATCTTCTTGCTGCCCAGCCGCGTGCGCAAGAACAGCGTTGAGACCTTCACGCCCACCGATGGCGCGTCCATCTACGAGAAAGCGGTCATCAACAACTTGTTTCCTCTTCTACCGAATCGCTACTTGCCAGGAAAATTCTTCTCCATCGAAAACTGGGTTCAAATCATCGTTGTGACGAAAGACAGGGGCAACTTCTTGCGGGAGGAAGTGATCAACGCCTCCCGGCGTTTTAACGATGAAGTGATGCATAATTTATCCGTCTGGTCGGACAGTCTTCAGAAGAATCTGACGTTCTTCGATCTGTGTCTCCGTTGGGACAACCAGTGCTTCGAAAACTCCCATCTAAATTTGCTGGCAATGAAGGATAACATCGAGGAATTTGTTCGCGTTACCTACCCCGTTACAAGAACGGTCGACAATCCGACTTACTTGGGCACGAGTATCGGAGGTAAAACTTTTTCTTTGTTTCTCTCCCGTGTACTGCAAACTCTAACCTCATTTCTCATGAGTGTTCGAATTTGTCTTTTTACGTTTAATTTGGTATTGCTCTTCCGTGCAATGAAGTCTACGAAATTTATTTCAGTTCAATTACTATAAACTTGACAATAACTGCGGTCCATTCCTTCAAAGTTCAGCAGCTTTTAGCTCTGCTCTTATTCTAGGAACGAATAGTTGTTTCTTACGTTGGTCAGTCGATAAAAAGTAGAAGTTTGAACGGCAAGGTTCCCGGTTCGAGCCCCAGTCGGGTCAGATGTCATTCATCCTTGCGAGGTATGTAGATGAATAAGGAGACTACACACCAACCTCGCCACATAACTGTAGATCCTCCGCTAAAAATGAGGCACTTCTGGTTGATGGCATGGAAACAACGACCAGAGGGGCACCGTCAGAGAGACTGGTAGCAGGTGCGCTGATGCACGTGGATCAGCATCATGCAAGTGACACCCAGGTCTGTGAGAAACAAACCGGAGCGTACATTGTCTGAACAAAGCAATTGTATTACGATGCATCAAGCAAATGCGCATTCATGATTAAGTTCAACAGTCCTAGTCCTTCGCCACAAATATATTCCAAATTTTGTCCCTGATGACGATCAGTATCTTCTGTGTTTTCTGAAAAGTCTTTTTTCAAATTGCTATACACTTAAAAATCATTACTGTTTTACACTCCACTCCGTTGGCTATGTGGAAACATGCTTTCTAAAGGAACAGGCATTTATCACCGCAGTAGGCGGTTATCGACAAGTAGAATGTTAAAAAAATGTTTACTCCCAAATCCTCATTAAAATAGGTTCGCAAGCCAGGGTGTATCAAATAACGTATGACTCATAAAGATCAGATTTCACGGCGTGGAGTTGCTATGAGGAATTATGCATTATTTGACTCAAAAACAGGTCTTTCTCGTCAGCTGGATGACCGAAGCATTGAGAAGTCGATTAACCCAAAGTTTTTCTCCACATCGTCAACAAATTGAACCACACATACTATTTATTATTCTTAGTCAGTCAGTCAGCTTTGATGATCGCTTATACTTTCGGGTAGCGAAAGCAGACGCTTCAGGAAGTGCCTGGAACGTTCCTGATCCTAGGCCAGCGTTTTAGCTTCTGCAAAAGATGACCTGAGTCTGGAGCAGAGTCCTTCGGACGGCACGGTTGCCTCAGGTCATTCTTGGCTGCCCCAGGGGTCTTCGGTCAGCCGGTTGGGCAAGTAATAGCTATTTTTCATTCTAATCAAGAAAAAAGACTCTCTTACAGTTCTCGGCCAATATATGAGTTCCAAGGAGGTGGTTGTGCCTTATTTTCCAGTTTTTTCATCAAAATTATCATGGATGTCACTTACTCTCCATTATTTGGCACAATCCACCATGTTTCGCCCTAATGATCGAATTGTATCGAAAACATTTTTGAGATGCTGCTTCAGACAACCTGATGTTTTTAATGGCTAAGGTTTTCTGGCAAAAGAAATGACTTGGGTTTCATTTGTCGTTTCCATCGAAACTTGTTTGAGACAATTTGACTTTCGAAAAGAAATTTGACGAACCTTAACGTGTATTTTTTACGTCACGTAGCATCTTGTTAAATTTCCTCACGTTGTTTGTGCCATTGTTCCGCTTCCGGTCGTCTTTTGACAGTGAGACGCATGAAAAGAATGAGGTACTGGTTATAATAAGTCGTTCTAATTTGCTGAGTCGAGGTCTCCTTGTCGCAATTTTCAATAAAGCTGAGAATTGTAGCGGCAGTGCAGAAAATTTGAAAAAAAATCGCAATAACAGTGCTTAATTTCTCGTTTGTAGAAATTTAATGACGAGAAATGCGACCGATATTTAAGTAACTATGACAGTTACAAAAGTGGCTGAGAAAATACTGCATCTTTATGCATACCACTTATGCCCTGACGATGCTGTAGTACGCATGCAAAATGTGTTGGCAATAAAATAATAAAATCTCCGTTAGTTGCTGATCTCAAAAGTGTAATCACTTGTAATCTGCAATTTCAACAACTGGCCAGAAATTTGAATTGTTAAGTCAAATTTATTAATAATTCATTTGTATGCTAATTGTTTGACTAATTAAATGGTAGTTCTCTATTCATATAGTTGAGTTCAGTAGACCGCGGGATGAAATGAAGTAATCGAGCATATCACCGATATAAATTAGGATAGTTATATTCTCCTTAGTGTTTCGGTAAATTGCAAGGGCCGTATTTCAATTCCTTATGCCACTACCTCTTTAGTGGTTTGGTTGAAAAGTTTACAGTTGATGATTAATTATGTTATTCGTATGTAACCTTGGCACATGATTATTACTCTTTCGTTGTTGCCCTGTACTCAACATCGACATCTAGGTTATATTTGTAAAAAGCGCACATTCAAGGAGCTTCCTGAAGTTTATCTTTCCCTCTTCATCAGAATTGCCGCTAACACTAAGCTTATGCAGAAACTCCGCTGTCAAATCCACCCAATAATTCCAAGCTATGTACAAATGAGAAGGAGATGAATTAACAAAGAAAAAGTGATTATGCCTCTTGAGTTCCATCAAAATATAAACCGTTCTATAACAGTTGTTGTTAAACTTTGTTTCCTAACGAACTATTACAGGCAGCCAAGGCTAAATTTTCTTCTAATGTTAAAAGCATTGTTCATTAAATGGCATTTTCTTTTGACAGTTATAAGGCCAGTTGATAACTGTACCATTGCTCACTCCAACTATTTTATATATTGGCATAAAACAGCGGTGCCAAATCTCAGAAGAAAGGTGCTTCAGTTGTTGGAAGGCCATCAACCTGCTTCTGTACTTACTTGATTTCATTATAACATAGCGAGGTAAATCAACGGTTAAGAAAATTTGCATCCCTTGTCATTCTTCATGAATTATCTGAATATCTTCAGACATCTGCCACATATGAGGCAACTGACAAATAACTACATGCGAGTGAAGGCCGTTCATTCTTAGGGTTCAGTTTGTATCATTGTCTGCAGTGTACTCATATGCAAATCCCGTTTATGCCTGACAGTTGCGCAAACGATTAAAATGCCGAAGTGTATGTTCTTGAATGGCATCAAGTGGCAAAGAAGTATTAGAGTAGAGAAAGAGTAACGAAATATTTTCCGGAAGTCGCTATGCTCAACCAGTGAAGGATCACTGGAGAACTATTGCGCGGAGGCTTCGGTGAAGGATCTCACCAGCAGCAGATCGTCTACTCCATTCATAGCATTGTACAACTGTTATGGCAATAGATTTTTACTAGTTGTTGCAACGGCATGTTTCCTGTTATCATAAGAATGAATAAAAGATTTGCGTAGGGTAGAGGAGAAGAGAAGAAATCAGAGGGAGAAAAGGAAAAAGTGTTTTAAATGACACAAGCAGTAAGGAAAGGGAGTAATAAGACAAGTTTGCAGC